AAGAGCAATGGTGTCTCTGTGGAGATGAAGGTGCATCTGATACAGGCCATGGTCTTTGCTATCACTTGTTGTGCATCAGAGAGTTGGACAGTGACTAAGGAGGATAGAAGGAGAATTGATGCCTTTGAGCTGTGGTGCTGGAGAAGAGTATTCAGTGTACCATGGACTGTTAGGAAAACAAACAGATTCATCCTGGAGAGGGTTAAACCAAGCGGCTCCTTGGAGGCAAGAATTCTTGGGCTCTGTCTAACATAGTTTGGACATGTTATAAGGAGAGACCAGTCCTTGGAGAAGGACATCATGCTTGGTAGGGTAGAGGGACAGCGCAGGAGAGGAAGGCCCTCTATAAGGTGGATTGATTCAGTGACTGGGAAAATCTGGATTGGCACAGGAGAGAGCAAACTTTAGGGCTGTTGTACACAGGGTTGCTATGAGTTGCAAGTGACTCGATGGCACATAACAACAACAATGATGTCAGTTTGAGGACTAAGGTACGTCTGACTTAGGTCATAGTCTTTCTGATCACTTGCTATGTATGCATCTGAGAGCTGGACAATGAATAAGGATGACAGAAAAAGAATTGACACCTTTGAGCTGTGGTGTTGGAGAAGAACACTGAACATCCCATGGCAGCCAAGAGAACAAACAGATATGTGTTAAAGAGCATGCAGCTGGAATGCTTTTTGGAGGCAAAGATGATGAGGCTTCACCTCACATACTTTGGACAGGTTGCTAAGAGGGGATATTCCTTAGAGGGGGACATGATGATTGGAAGTGTCAATGAAGGAGAGGAAGACCCTCAGCCAGGTGGATTGACATGATGACTGCTGAACTGGACTTTTGTGTGTCAGGAAGTGAGGATTGCACAGGATAGAAGAGGGTTCAGTTCTTTTGTCCATAGAGTCACTCTGACTCATACTCAATTCAATGGTACTTAACAACAACTTTCCAATTACTTTCTATGCATCAGAAAGCTGGACAATGACTAAATATGACCAAAAAATTGATGCCTTTGAGATGTGGTGCTGGAGGAGAGTGCTGAATATCCTATGGACCGCCAAGAAAACAACAGGTCTGAGAAATTTTAAAAAACAAAAAACAAACCTGTATTTTATTACCTTTTGTGTGTACCGTCAAATCAAATCTGACTGGTACAGGAGGAGATTGCCCCTCCTTCTCCAGCAGAGCATCTGGTGGATTCGAACCACTTACCTCTGGGATTGCAGTGCAGCTTCTTGTCACTAGGCTACCAGAGCTCCCTTTGTCTTAGAGAATTTGAAACCAAGTTGCTCCTTGGAAGCAAAGACTTTTAATATCCATCTGATATTCTTTGAGCATATGGCCAGGAGATATAATACTTGGAGAAGGACATCATGGTTGGAAAGGTAGAGGGTCAGCACAAGAGAAGAAGACCCAGGATGAGATGGATTGATACAGGAACTGGAGTAATGGGGGTAGGTGTGCTGGAGACACTAAG